ACACACATTTTTGGATGCTTACACGCAGACACAAACACAGACTTATGTACTTAAGCAGGCACACACACTAACACACACAGTGTACACAAATAATTCAAGGGCATATATCTCTTTAAGGATTCCAGCAGAGAGAGCAGGGGCATGCGGCTGCTGCCTTTCAGATATTTCATTACCAAAGGGTATTTATTTCATTTCACCCTCAAATCCGTTGTCGTCACAATTCTCACAAGACCAGATTTTTTCCCTTTCTGTGAAACATTTGGGAAACGTCACTGAGGATTTGACAACAGTGCTTTCCCAGGGTAACTCCTGGTCCATCAGTGTGCCCCCCCCCCCACCACCACCTCCTCCCAGTATATTATGTTCAGTGGAGCGTGCTCGGTTCAGAGCGGGCAATTTCTCTCACGTCTTCTCTAGTCTAGTTTGCTTCGTGATTCCAACCCCACTTTACCACAAATGTAGTTTTGCTCACAGAAATTGAGGGGGCAGCAAATTTGTCAAGATGACCAAGGTGGGAACGAAATGTTTAAAGAGAGAAGTGGAAGTCCTAACTGTCATGTTCAGGTTGTGACGCTCAGCAGTCCATAAGAGAGTCGGAGCAGAAGTTAATAAGGAAAAGTCTTCCTTCCTTTTAAAGCCTTTCCATAAAGTGTTCGACAAAGTGGATGAGACAGGCTTTTCCAGCATGTTGCGAGTTTAGTGAGCAGCGAAAAAGGACTGTCGGAGTGACATGAGGGTGTTGAAGAGGCTGCTGGTCACTCTATTAGTTGTTCCAGCACACTGAGGCGATACTATACGACACTCCAGTGCACGGAGCAGAGAGGCCGGGACAGACAAGTTAAACTCGGGACAGCTTAAAGTTAAACAGACCTGAAAAACATCCCAGACTGATCCAAAGTGAGCATCAGGTAGACTTTGATGTTGTGGTTAGACGTGCCAGACACGCATAAACACATACACGCACACACGCACACACACACACACACACACACACACACACACACACACACACACACACACACACACACACACACACACACACACACACACACACACACACACACACACACACACACACACACACACACACACACACACACACACACACACACACACACACACACACACACACACACACACACACACACACACACACACACACACACACACACACACACACACACACAACAACAACTTTGACTTACATCACAGACGCTGGTCGCCCTGTTCGGTGCAGTGAGGGCTGAGTTGGGGACGCTCTTGTTTCCGGCCTTCATGGCGGCGTCTCTGCGGGCCTGTTCCAGGAGGAGGCGGGCTCTCTCCTTCAGCTCCTCCTGACGGGACAGCACCCTCTGTGTGCAACCACAGGACGAACGTAATGACTTAAAAAAAAATGCTAATGATTCGCTACAGTCCTTTTTCTCAGTAAGACTGTACACACCTCTTGGATGAACAAAATAAGTGCTTGTAGATGCCCATACATGATTCTTTAAGAGTTTCCAAAGTAGCTTTTGACTGCACAAATATGGATATATGAGAATATGTCTGCAGTATCTTACTCTCTTGTCAAACTGTACTCACCTTCTCAGCGGGGGGACTTGATACAGGTGCTGGCTCCTTTAAAAAAGAAAATACATCTTAAACTACAGGTTCATTGCCAATACCATAAAAAAACCTAATTGGGTTTTTACAGCTTCTTAATAAAGCACTTTGTCTTCACAGTGTAACAAGTTTGGATGGGTTTTCACTAATATATGATTCTTAACAAGTAAATAAGTTTTGAAATCTAGTTAATTATGGTGCCTAAATAAGTGACATGCCACAGAAATACACACAGTTTCACAGAGAGAAGTATAAATAGCTTTCAGACTGCATCTTGTGCAGTGAGCAGGTGGAGGTAGAAAAGAATAAAGACAAGCGGACCCAAATCTAGAAGCAGGGTATTTCCCCCCCGTGATAAACAGGGCCTGCACTTTGGGCCGGCCTACAAACGGGCTGTCTGGGTCCAGTGGTGTGGAGAGCATGACGGCTTTGACAAGAAAGCAAAACACACCTAGCTTAGAGTTTTATCTGCAGGGTAATCCTGGCTGCATTATAAGGGGGAGCAAAGAGGGCAAGCAGAGCTTTTACATTTGGCTCAGACAGACCACATTACAGGCAGCTGTTTAGAGCTCGGAGACATCCTTTCAGCAAGTCAAGTCTGACTGCATGCATCAGGCGAGGATGCATCCCCGCTAACTTGATAACAGCAGATCAAAATGGGGTGTCATAGCTGTCATAACCCCCCTGCAGCCCCCCCGCCTGCCCTGTGACCTTTCGACTTGTAAACAGGAAGCGATAATCTGGGGTTAACCAACGCAGGCAGCAATGTATTCAATGTGTGTTTGGGTGTGTGTGTATGAGACGAGATGAGGTGTGCTCGGCGCAAAGCGTCGCCACGCCTGAGCAGTCACGGCACCGACTGCCATCAACTGAAGGGATGAGAAATATAATGAAAAATATAATGAAATGTCAAAGCAGGGGGTTCTTCCGGGCGCCTTCTGAAGTCGCCACATGTTACGGCCTCAGTGTGTCTGGGTCTGCAGACAGCTGACGACAACATCTAATGCAGAACGGGAGAGTTTGGGTACGGTCATCTCTGCAATGGCATCAACAAGGTCGGGATTTGAAGCTTAGCGTGTGCCAGGAGGGAATGAGTGTTCACCACATCCTCTGTCTTATGATGACTAATGTAGCAGGGAAACTTTCAATCAGACGATAAAAACCTGAACGATCCATTTACAGGCCGGGCAGGTAGCTGCAGGTAAACGCTGTCAGAATCTTAATACCTGGTAGCAAGACGTAAATTAGCCTTCATCATACAGACTGAGCCAGGGGTTGTGTGAGGAGCAGGATTTATAATTAGCCGTGAGATAATTTCATGTATCCCTTACTGACCCCTGAAGGACAAGTTCAACTATATTCAGAGCTCTGAAAATATTCCTGGTTGCACATAACTGCACATAACTGCACTGGACAATGTGTCCCACCCTCTCCAGGACACCCTGTCCTCACTGTGCAGCTCCTTCAGCGACAGGCTGTTGCACCCCCGCTGTCAGGGAGACATACCGCAGGTCCTTCCTTCCTTCAGCGGTCAGACAATACAACCAGCACAGCCCCTAGTAGTAGAACCCCCCCCCCCCACACATACACCCACAACACAGACTATAATACCCCTTGCTACCAACCAACTATGTGCTATATGTGCAATATATATGCCGTTACAACTGTGCTATATATACCTGGCTGCTACAGTAAATCCTAAGAACTGTTACAGGATGTGTATTTTGAAAATTATGTAACTTTAATTTTTTATTATATCATAACTTAGTACTTTTTAATGCATGTAACATATGTAACATTACAGTAACATTACATTAGTCTGTGGCTCTTTTTTCTGCTGTAACTACGTACATTTCCCCTCTGTGGGACTAATAAAGGTATTCTGATTAGTGAGGCTCCATTTTGGGATTTTCTTACTCTATAATAAAAAAGAGTTTTAATCAATCACAAGTTATTAATAAAGTCTATTAATTATCATGTTAAAAACTAGCATCCAACACCTTTTGAATTTCCAATTAAAGGACTATTTAAGGACTTGACAGGCCCATTTTCAGGGCAAAGTCTGAGACATGGATCAGGGTGAAAAAGAGGGAGAAAGACTCCTAACAATTGATTGTAAATTGAGAAGCATCTCTCATTTAAACCACTTCTTTACTCTCCATTCCTATCTCCTCTCCCCAGTCAGAAATACAGTAAATACAGCAGAACAAAATATTTAATTAATTAGTAAATACTTTTCTTAGAAAGCTACAGTTAAGGTACCCTTGAGCAAAACCCATAACCATCAAAGTTGAAGAGCCCAGATACAAGCTGTGATACCTGGGGGAGGTGTGTGTGTGTGTGTGTGTGTGTGTGTGTGTGTGTGTGTGTGTGTGTGTGTGTGTGTGTGTGTGTGTGTGTGTGTGTGTGTGTGTGTGTGTGTGTGTGTGTGCTGTTAATCTATTTATTTACCTGTCATTGGCTGTAATAATAACAGCCGCAGGAACATGTCAATAGCAAAAAATGTATGTTATATTTATGTTCATTGAAAACATTTGATGAAAACGCTTTAATTTCTAATATTGGATCAAATATATAAGTTTGAATGCCCCATGTGTATTTTCAAACACTTATTCTTTTCACACTTTCATTAACGATTTCAAGCGCATCTTTTGGAGTGATGTCAAACAGTGATAAAAAGTGTTCAGCTCTTATAAAAAATGATCTCCGGTAAAGTGAAAAAAAGGGATGGCACTAAATAAAAAAATAAAAGCACTTTTAGATTAACTTCTCCATTTTACTTTTGTAGCACTTGTTCAGTGTGTGTTTGCCTTAAGACCGTTATTTGTTTGTTTACCTGTTTGGGGGTGTTGTCTGTGTGGTTGGCGGGAGGGGGGGTGCTCTCTGAGGCGGGCTCAGACTCGGAGTGACGCAGGCTGGCCCTCTTCTTCTTGATGAGGTCTGCGTCCCTGTTATAGGAGAAGCCCAGTTTCTGGTGGGGCGGGGAGGCCCCTCTCCTGGTGGGGGACCCTGGCTCTGTACTCCCCTCCCGTCTCTCCTCTCCCCCCTCCTCCGCCTGCTGCTGTCTCTCCGTCTCCCTGTGAGGTAACTCGCTGAGGTCTAAAGTTTTGGCTTTGAGCAGACTCCCCCTGTCCTCAGAGCTTGTTGCTGAGGCGGCTAACGCTGTGCGCGGCGATGGGACTGGAGGAGACTTTAAAGAGCCTGATGCTGGACAGCTGGCCGCTCCTACCTCCGCCTTCCAGCCTGGCTCCGTCACCTCTTCCTCAGCAGCTTTCGTGCCGTTAGACTCTGGGTTCACTTCACCAGCGGCGTCTACGGGCTCAGAGTTAGCCTGGTGGTGCTGCACGTCGTTGATTTCAGCGTAAAACTTGTCCTGACCGATGGAGGCGTTGGTGTCCGTCTCAAAGTCTCCCACTTTGTAGGTGCTGCGGCTGCTGTTGGCCTCGATCTGCACCACGTTCAGTTCCTCCCCAGAGAAGTGGGCGCGGATCTGGTACAGGTAGGTCATCACCGTGAGCTTGTCGGGGATGGCCAGCAGCACCATGTCTGACGGCTCCAGGAGACGGGAGATACCCAGGCTCGCAAAAACATCGTAAGCCTGCCGAAAAAAAAAGACAGAAAGTTACAGATTTGTACAACAGAGTCACGGTCATGTTACAGGAGTTTGAAAAATGGATGGGTGCCAATGCTTGATGAGATAGCAGAAGTCTGGTTTATTTTTCAGACATGGGTTGTTTTTGGTGCCTCCCATGCATGATCCATGTGTGTGTGAGTGAGAGACACCTTTGGCATGACTGCTGACGGGTCATGTCAGGGATGGTTGTCCCCGATAAGAGACGCAGATACCCCAAGACAGAGCGCTTAATCCCACAGTGTGTGTGTGAGAGTGTGTGTGTATGTTTGTGTGTCCTTATCGCTCCCCTATATCAACCTGCCCACGCTCTCCGTCACGCGTGTAATTGGTCTGATTAGAGTCTGATGAGAAAATACAGGTTTGATTATCAAGCGACACACGAAACCCAATCCCCCGTCACCAGATAGACTGAGACAGAGAGAGAGAAGGGATGAAAACCATTATCGTAGCCAATGACAGGTAAATAAATAGATTAACAGCACACACACACACACACACCACACACACACACACACACACACACACACACACACACACACACACACACACACACACACACACACACACACACACACACACACACACACACACACACACAACACACACACACACACACACACACACACACACACACACACACACACACACACACACACACACACACACACACACACACACACACACACACATCTCTCCCAGGTATCACAGCTTGTATCTGGGCTGCTTGATAGTGTTGATCTAATTCCAACCTGTTGCCTTGTGCGTTTGTTTCACTGCCTCTGTAGATCTCCCCCAGTCTATCAATCTCTCCCTCTTTCTCTCCGTCCCCCTCTCTGACTCCCAAAGCTTCTCTGTGTGTTTTTATGCTGTTATTTACCCCACGGATTGTTTTTAAGAGCCCGCTTATTTTTTCAGCCCCTTCCTCTGTGAGTCCTTTTCTTTCTCCCCCTTTACATTTTCTTTCCTTTATCTAGAAATTAGTCAATTGAGCAAGTCTGATCTTTCATAAGTCCTCCATTTGCATTCATCCAAAACTTAAAGTGTCTCTAATGGCGCATTTCCACTGCAGGGCCTCGCACGGCTTAGTACGGTATAGTTAGGCCTTGGTAGGCCAGGCTCACTTTATGCTGCGTTTCCATTACGGCCCGTCCACACAGCGGCGTGCGTTGAAGCTTCCAACGCTTCTGCCCATTCACTTTGAATGGGGTGACGTCACTTTTAGCCGAACTGCATTTTGGGAAGCGACGGAAGGCGCCTCGGCAGAAGCGTCAGCCAATGAAATCCCGTTTATGCAAATCTGCCAGTACAAGCGCTAGCCAATCAAACCGCGTGTATGCTGGGAGAGACTACGCAGGTAATTTCCTCATATTCCAAAAAATGGAGGAAGGTATTATAGCGGTAGTGAATCACCCGGTGCTGTATGATCAGTCTCTGTTCATCTACCGGGATACAAACCGGAGGAGCGAGCGTCAACGCACGCTGCTGTGTGGACGCTCCGTTACAGTTTAGGAACTGGGGCAGTAACGGACCGTCCACACAGCAGCGTGCGTTGCCGCTTGGCGGTGGGCGTGTCTGAAGCTTGGGGATTTTTTGCGACCAACAACCAATCACATGAATCTCCCGCCCCCGACATACAAAGCAATAGCAATGTTAAAACGAAGTAAACTGGATATAAAATCCCCAAACAGGCGAAAACCTACCAGTTTCACCCACTGTCTCTGCCTCCTCCCTCCATGCCTCGCTCCTCCGGTTTGTATCCCGGTAGATGAACAGAGACTGATCATACAGCACCGGGTGATTCACTACATTCAAAGTGAATGGGCAGAAGCGTTGGAAGCTTCAACGCACGCCACTGTGTGGATGGGCCGTAACTATAGTAACGCAGTGTAGGCGGAGCCGTGACGTCATATTCAATGCGAAACGCAAAACCAACATCAGCCGTTAGCTGTTAGCGCTCAGAGCTCACAGCTCCTCATATCTGTTTCAGGAACTAGACAAAAGTTAAACAAGTACAAACCACAGACTGCCTGTGTCATGGCGAATACAGTCGCTGGTTTATTTATGTCTGTAGGCCGTTGTTGTGAGTGTGGACGGTCGGAGCGTATACTGCGTTAGCTTAACCGATCTCCATTCAGAAAACACGCATTTTAAAGTCTACAGACTTGTCAAAGCATTAATTCATGGTTTTTACTAACTGGTATCAGTATGTTGTTACTTCGGCATCATTTTGAAACGTGTATTACAATTAAATCACGGTCAAATATGTTCATTTTGTTGTAGTTGTAGCCCCCTTGCCAGCGATTCTCTCACTAGTTCAGCATACTCAGCCCGGTTGTTGGCCCGGAAAGAAGCTGGATTTTGGAGAGCCAGAAAAACTGTGAAAAAGTACCCACTAGCCGGAACTACCCCTAGTGGAAACGCTACAAAAAACGGGCCGGGTTTGGCACGGCACGCTTAAACCGTGCTACGCGCTGCAGTGGAAATGCGCCATAAGTCAGCCTGAGCAACTTCAACTTTAATGGTTATGGGTTTTTCTCAAGGGTACGGTAACTGTTGCTTTCTAAGAAAAGTATTTACTGATGAATTAAATATTTAGTTCTGCTGTATTTACTGTATTTCTGACTGGGGACAGGAGATAGGAATGAGAGGAATGGAGAGTAAAGAAGTGGTTTAAATGAGAGATGCTTCTCAATTTACAATCAATTATGATGTCTTTTGTTAGGAGGAGTCTTTTTCCCTCTCACCTCTATTGTGCCTTTCTATAGATGGAAAGTATGTGTTTGTGCTTGCAAAGACAAGGCAGGAGGAAAGAGCTGACGGCGGGAAAGAACAGAGGAGTTTGCCTTTACAGAGAGCCTGTTAAAGTTCCCCCCTCTCCTTTCCCTGGCAGAAAGGGAGTGTTCAAGAAAGGAGAAAGAGAAGGAAAAAGAATATGGGGAATAAGAGGGCCTGATTGGGTTTCTAACACGTATTCAGGGGAGCAAAGTGTGCTTACATTGTTCTCCTCTCACATAGGGGAGGCTGTGAAAGAGAGCGACAACTTTGCTGCTCAATAGGGACAGAAAGAAAGAAAGGAAGAAAGAGAAAAGAGTGAGAGTGGGAGCTTCTTGAGGAGGAAGAAGGGAGGGAGACTGGATTTTGTTTCAGGGTCAATGTTAGTCTCGACATGTGCTTTAGTGTTTCTGACCTCAGTGTCCAGATGTATTCTTTCTATATCTTCTCTCATAGCTTGAAGAGCATGGATCGTGTCCCACTGAGACACTGATACTGAGAAAAGACCGGTTTGAAAAGACTGACTTGTTAGTAAGGGGGTAGCCTACAGTATGTGCCCCCTCTCAACAGTTAAATCATAATTATGGCAATTATTTTTAAATGATTATCAAGCAAAAGGGGCAATGGGCCGTTTGTGGCTTAATTTTTTCGCCATCAAGAATGTTAAAATATAAATAAGTAAAAGAGGAGAGCATGAATTGTCGAATTGGCAGTTATTCCATATACATTTGTATTCTACTTTATTACTATCATTATTCAATGTTTTTAAAATCAAATCCTAATTGTTTAACTTCATCACAAAATCTTGGTCTGCAGATGAATGTATTCAACCAAACTAAAAGCAAACAATGAGTTGATGAAGTTTTGGTATTTCATGTATGCGTTAATAGTGAAACAAATTTACTGCAATATTTGATTTGTGATTTGGCACAAATTCCGTATTTCCGAATTTATATCTTGGTAAAATAAAATTATAATAAATACTAATGATCTCATTTTTATCAATCAGCCCTACTGCTTGGTTGATAACATGTGAAATACACCTACCAAAATAACTGAACTTCTGTATTCCTGACCACTCGAAAAGCTACATTTCTGTCCAATAACAAAATCATGTATTTTGGGAGAAAAAATCAAGTTCTCTCACTTTCCATCATTGGGCTGACAAAGCTTTTGGTTTGGACTCAAATGTCAGCGTCTCCTGCCCTGGGCCGCTGCCCCCCCCCCCCTCTCTCAGTGACTGACAGCTATCTATCGTTGTCAATCATCAGAGCCCCCCCCCCCTCCTCAGCCCAACCCCTAACTGGTTGTGCTCAGGGAGCTTTAGCCCGGTGCTTGGTGCTACACTATCAGATGGCATGACAAATGACTTCTCCTTGGCCTCATTACAACACACACACACACACACACACACACACACACACACACACACACACACACACACACACAACACACACACACACACACACACACACACACACACACACACACACACACACACACACACACACACACACACACACACACACACACACACACACACACACACACACACACACACACACACACACACACACACACACACACACACACACACACACACACACACACACACACACACACACACACACACACACACACACACACCTTAAACAAACATATATACACACACTCATCCATACATACACATACGTATCCATTGATAATGGATCATTTCAAAGGCTGTTCTGAATATTCACTTCCCTCTATTTTTCTTTCCTACGCACCCCCAATATTGATTGTCCTTATCTGTCATAATTCAGCACAGTCTGAGCTCATTGCAATCACTCTTCACAGATAGACTGGGAAAGGAGGAGGGGGCATGTCTATCAGTTCACCATGAAAGGCGGAGATAGTTGTCATTTCTACACTTTTCCATTTCTGCTGTCCATTCAATAAATTCTATACATTCTAATAACTCTTTATAAAGCAACTCTATACAACATGGTGGATGGGAGATAAGTCTTTTTTCATCACGCTCTTTCATTCTGTTCTTCGTACATTCATTTCTCTCTCTTCTTTTCCATTGCTTGCTCTACGGGCTCCTTAACCTGCATCATTATTCTGTCCGAGCCCGTGCCTGGCGTGACTGTTTCCTTATTTCGTGCAGGGCGTCATGGGCACCCTTCTCCTGTTCAAACACATTCAAGGTGCTACATGACACCACACGATGCGTTGCTCCCCTTTCATTTCCCCTGAACTCACTGGCCTTTACAATCACAGCCTCCAACAATACAGAGTATAATATGTCTACAATTTACTGTCTGTGTTACTGCTGGATATAAACCAACATTATCCATAGTGTACAATCCCTCAGACGCATACTTGCCAACCTTGAGACCTCAGAAATCGGGAGCATTTCAAAACCACCGCGGGGCTAGTGGGTCGCCGGACCGGTTAGATTAACATTAACATGCTTATTGTAGTTGCGGCCTGTAGCACCATCCTTGATGGAGCATGTGTGGGCTGGACCTGTATTTTGTACAGGAAAGGAGTGAGCAGAGGGTAGAGTTGTCGATTCTTGTTCTGTATTCTGTGACTATCTGCCTCACCCATGGATGTATAATAAGAACGCCTCACCCTCTCAGACTTTCAGTTGCGCGCGCTACTAAAGAGACGCGCTACTAAAGAGACGCGCTACCATGGAAACCAAACAATGGTGTAGCTGTATTAAAGTCAGAGTGGAAACAGTCGTGAGTAAATCAGATTTTGTCAGAAATGCGGGAGAAATATGACCCCGGGAGGAAACCAGGAGAGGGCAATGAAATCGGGAGTCTCCCGCGAAAATCGGGAGGGTTGGCAAGTGTGCTCAGACGTCACATCTCACATGCTAACAAAATCTGTTCACATGCAGACATTCAATCCCAAACATCTATATATGGCTTGTTGCATTCTAGCAAATTGCTCTGCAAGCACTAAGTTATCAATGTACCAATAAAATGTGGCTATTTCACTGGTTTTTAACTTTACGGACTGATAATATTTAAAATGTAGTCGCTGCTAACAAAGGTAAACAACAACTACAGTTTACAGAAAACAGATTGAGCAGGAACCCTGATTACCGAATATATCAGTCATTGATTTCAGGTGTTGTTCAATAAGCCGCACACATGATGGTCTCCTTACCAAATATATCTTGTGAGTAGATGTGATGTGTATGTGTGTATAAATGTGGATGTTTCTGACGTTTTTTTATGTAGTTATTTTGTGGTGTATAATAGGGCTGAACGATTAATCGATTTTAAATCAAAATCGCGATTCGAGATAATCCTGCGATTTTTTTTTACTTTTTTTTTTTTACAATTTTTTTTTTTTTATTGTGTGTCAGTCATCCACACCAATCAGAAGTGCCTTACTCCACATGTACCAGCCATTGTTAATCAATCAGAAGTGGCCCATGATAGAAGGTGACGGATTGATCCAATCACCTGCCAAGTGCTTCTGAAAGTGCCTGCCCTTTCCAAATGGCTTCCAATGGAGCTTTCCTAGATAGTTTGGTGAAACAAACCATCTGAGTCAGGTTAGTAATGCTCCATCACATGTTTCTAATACAGGGTGAATCTTTAACTGAAGCTTGACTTTAAAGCAACCCAACGGAAGTTTCATGTAAGTTTAGTTCTTTCACTCGTAGCTCGGGCTGCGGGGGTGCTAGAGACGGGAGTATGTTGATATGACCTTCCTAGCCGGAGATATGGCCGCATTTTACAATAAACTTCCGTTGGGTCGCTTAAAAACAAATATCGCAATTCGAATCGCAATATTTGTCAGAAAAATCGCAATTAGATTTTTTCCCAAAATCGTGCAGCCCTAGTGTATAACGTATTTATGTATATGTATTTCTGTGAGGCCTCGAACAAATTCGAAAATAAATAATCCATCTATTCATAAAGGTTGCTAAATTAAAACCTTTTTAGGAAATGTTTTCGCTGGTACATTTTTCTTGCAGGTTAATTTCTTTAACTAATTGTGCTTTGTGAAGCAAAAACATTTAAGGACGTTCAAAAAATACTTGCCCTGCTCAACTAAACCAAACTTGACAGTACTAACATAGTTGTTTGGCATATATCCAATGTTGCTTATGCACCTAGATCCTTGAAGGCCATATGAGGACTCTGGCAGGAGGAGTCAGTTCGCTGATATCTACCTGCAGTGCGTCTCCTTTGAACGGAGCAGCATGCTTGGTCAAATGTACATCAGCAGCCGGTGTAGATCTTTACAGAGGAGCAGGTCGCACAGAGCTGCAGCTATTCACCGGCTATCACCTTCTACGGCATATTCCCATATTACTTATATCTAGCCAATTTCTTCAGGGCTACTTGAGCACCTGGAGGGGGTGAGGGGCAGTTAGCAGATATGGGATTGGGTCTCTCCCTCTCCCTCCACTGTGGTTATTGTCAACAGGGTAGCATTCATGCCTAACAGGGCCACCAGAGGTTATCGCTGAGCCAGAGTGTGTGTGAGAAGAGGAAATAATGCTGCAGGAACCCGACGCATATCGTTCTGTGTAGCCCTCGGGGCCAGAGAGGGGACAGGGCGATGGTGTGTAGTATATGTGTGTGAGTGTGTAGTAGCAAGGAGGGAAAATAGAGGTGTGCATTTGTGTGTTGGGAAAGTAAGTAAATGTGCACGACACGAGCCAGAGGGACGGAGGAGGAAATGGCAATGTGTGCACCTCAAACTGTGAATGTGAAGATACGATGACATAGGGCGAGGTGTGAATGGGTTATTCAGGTGTGCTTTAGTAGTGAATGTATTTACTGTATGTGGGTTGACATGTTTTAGGAAAGGACAGAAATCAAACCAACGAGATGTCTCCGAACCAACATGGACGGTTTATTCTATCTTAAGCATTCTGAAAAAGTGAAGCATAAAAAGCTAAGCCAATATGAAGTGCCTTAAACATACATTATTGTATGGCCTGTACAACCTCTGGTTAAAAGAATAAGTCTGGTTGTATGGAAGTCTATAAGAAAATGACCCTTCTTCTTAGATGATTTATCACACAAGTAAACATTGGAAACATGAGTTCGTTGTCTCAATCTTAACATGATGTTCATTTAGTAAACGATGGTCCCATTTGGAGTAAAACAGCAGCGTATGCTTTACGGTTGACTATCACACAGTCGACAGGTCTCTATCTTGTTCAGTGTTCGAGTGTAATTATTTCAAACCTGTCATGGCACTTCCAAATGCAACGTAAATGCCAAACAAGAGGCTTTCAAACCTTTTTCCACATACTTAGGGGTGATGTCATGCTGACAACTTCCACTTTTTATATACAACCTATGATTACAGTTACCAGTAAACAGATGCATACCCCCTCCTGCACACTGTTTTACAGAAATACAAACAAAAGAATCTAATCAACACAGGACAAATGTGTTCTTATTATATACACAGTGACTTAAACACACTAAGCAGAGACCGTTTGGTAATCTCCCAGCATGCAGCAGAGCTAAGATAGCATCTCACCAGGTGACTTAGTTATTGCCACGAAGACACATCGCAGCAGGGGGAACGTCTTGGAAACACTGTCATTATAACGTCTGGCTGTAGTTCATATGTGTAATTGTGAGTGTATTTGTTAGCCTTCATGTGGGTTTCCCCTCTCCCCATTTAAACCATGAACCACACATGCACAGTACATCCAGGGATTAATGGCAGATCTCTAAATAAGGCCAAATGGAGTTGTGGTTGGGAGGGAGCTAAGTGGTGTGAAGGGCCCAGCGGTGGCTGCCTCTTACCTTTTTGTTGTTTTCTTTAATATCCTGAGGATTGAGCGACTTGTAGTCTCTGGAACAACAGTGGGGAAGGTGGGAGAGGAGGCAGGCAGGGAGAAAATAAAGAGGGAGAGAGAGAGAATGGGGGACAGAGAGAGATAGCGGAGAAAGTTTAAATATGCGTCACATGTAATGGCATTAGAACTGTAACATGCAATTTCATAGCAGTGCAATCAACAGAACTAATAGAGTGGAAAATATGTAAAAATAACACACCGGAGTGCAAAGGCACACACACACACACACACACACACACACACACACACACACACACACACACACAGTTTAAATAAATAATCTTCATGTCTGCTCCCTTGATGGGGCTGCAGGTTTTCCATATGTTGTATACACACATTAAACACCAAACATTAAATAGGATTGTAAGACCCGAATTTTCTTGAAACTTTTCTTGCAGCTTCATTAACAACATCAAGGACAAACATAAAGACAAGAAACAAGTGAACGGACATTTAACATTACATTCAATCTAAATATGTTCAAGACTCTTAACTTTGATTATTACTTCGCCTTCTGAAATTTGAACTGTCTGAGTTCCACCCGAAATGACCTCACTAGTCTAACTAGAACCACCAGACTCAGAGTCAGTTTCATCCCACAGGCCATAAGACTATTAAACACCTGCACTTCTGAAAGAACATCCATAATCCACATCTGTTTGCAAATTATATATATCAATATTCCAATTACTTGACTATTCTGCACTGTTTCTATTGTTATTATATTGTATTTTATAGTATTTACTTGCACTATTATCTGTTTTATTGTTGTTGCACTGTTGGAGGAGCCTGTGACCTAAGATTTTCATTGTCATAACTGTAACACTGTAGCTATGTACACATGACAATAAAAGCCTTGAATCTACTGGTCTTATTTCTAGCCCTGACGTGTGTGTGTGTGTGTGTGTGTGTGTGTGTGTGTGTGTGTGTGTGTGTGTGTGTGTGTGTGTGTGTGTGTGTGTGTGTGTGTTTCCTACATTGTGTCGGGCCTGAAGTGGTGCAGCAGGGCGCAGAAGGCCAGGCCGTTCCTCCAGGACGTGGTGAAGTTGGTGATCTTGACCCCGCGGTAGTTCTTAGTGACCTCGCGGCACCACACCAGCAGAGACTGGCTGGCGTTGGGCTTCCCTCCCAGAACCGGGCTCGGGATGGGGCTGGGCTGCAGGCAGAGGAAAGAAAAAAGGTTTTGAGTTTAATCTTTCAATATATTCCACCTTTACAATATGAAATGGATCAATGCGAAATACTTATATCCATTCCCTAAATTAGGGCTGTGTTTTTGGGTCAGAAGGACAATACACATTATTACTGATAGTTAAAAATGAATAATCCACATGGTGGTGCAGGGATAACATATTTTTGTAGGCCAACTCGGAAGTTAGCATCGCAAGGGCTCCCTCAAAAAATTGTATGAGATTTTTCCATTGGATTTCCGAATGTTGCAGAAGATAATCTCTGTGGCAAACAATTGTTTATGGAACTTATATGTTTGGTTTAGCAGGAAATCTCCACATATTGAAACTACTTCAGGATCTTTGAAGCCTGAATGCAATCATCAGAAGTAAAAGCTAACGTTATGCTATAAACAAACCACATAGCGGTCACATGACTTCACCTCACCACCACTTAGCTAAATGTGGCTAATGCTTTCAAAACAAGTGAAAATCTCTTAAGCTTGTGTTAACCACAGACCTTCTTTCAGGCACTTAACCAAAAGCACGTCCAAAATAAATTGACTTTGAGACAAGGAAACCAGAAGCGGTAAAATGCTAACTCGTGTCCAGGTTTAAGGTTCATTACTGCAGCACGTCTCTATTGGATTATATCTCTATTATATGAGTTATATGTGTCTTAAATGTGTTTTTTTAACTGGTATGAGAGCATACTACATTCCAAACCATTGGCACAAAAGATTGTCCACGATGCCACCCCCCCCCCCCGATCCAAGTCTGAGCTCCTTTCATTATTTATTTCTCAATTAAATGTTTTACTTAGCAACCTCCACCCATCCAATTAGCTTGCCATTCCGACATACAATGAGGCCACACATTCACGCACACACACTCACGCAGACACACACACACACACACACACACACACACACACACACACAACACACACACACACACACACACACACACACACACACACACACACACACACACACACACACACACACACACACACACGCCATAACGAAGGGTCATGCACAAAGCAGTGTATGACCGTGGATAATGTAAACATCTTATTAATTAGCTCCGCCTTTGAAGTCTTATCTGGGTCGAAAGCTTTCACCATTAGGAGCCTTTCCTCTCCCAGACTCCAAATCCCACAAATCCTCGGTGGCGTGGAGACACTGGTCCTCCTCTGACGTCCAGCAGAACCAATGCTATTCTGATTATTCAGCCCGCTGTTCACTAATCTGGTTATGCAGCGACAGATACGCGCTAATTCTCTCAGATCGTTTCGGAGAGAAATGGCAAAAAATGTCACTGAGATTTGATTAAATTCATTAGAGGCAAGTGATCAAAAAGACTATGAAATGTGTTCAAATATTTCTATTATATGCAGGACAATGAAATTAACATATGACTAATAACACAGCTTTCATTAATAGTGTGACACAATGTGTTTAAGCAGGGTGTCTAACTTTCATTAAGCCTAATTTGACTTTAATATCAGACACATTAAAGGATGACATGGTAAATACTAGTACAACTTTAGAAAAAACACTACATTTGTTGGGTTGCATGCAAGACAAAACTGCTTCACTGAACTATATTAAGGTTCTCTGTTGTTAATTAATAGTTCTGTATTAATTGTGTAATTTCTAGTAAAATATTGGTTTAGATAAAATGCAAATGTGGTCTTGCTGCTGCCCTCACAGAGAGGTGATGTTTAATGTCCAAGCGCTGGATGGTTTCATTCGTCAAAGCTTTACTTGACCTTTAGCAGTGAAAAAGTGAATGAAGAGATGTTGCTTTTACACAGCCTGGTACTGGCCACCGTAACGAGTTAACCCAGTTTTTAAGACACAGTGAAGGCCATGAGAAAACACAGCTCACAAGACTGCTTGAGTCTCAGCGCTGTAACAAGGCGTGTGGTGGCCCACCAACCCCCTCTGTTGGCGGCTTTCTGCTACTGCAAGAACACGAGAGCCTCAGAAAATATAGGAAAATAAACACAAATTTGGCTCTGGGAATTTGGAGGAAAACAATTATTATGTAAAGGGGACAGTGTGCGCCGGTAAGCATCTTCCAGCCCTCAAAAGCAGACGTAAAATCGTTCAGAAAATCATCAGGGGCATTGGAAATAAATAGAATTTGAATTTAATTAAAAATACTGGCTAGACAACATCACTCCAAAGAGATGTGTGCTTAGGCCAAATGCAGAGACCTAGAAGAGTACAGACAACATTTTAAGACAATCTGAACCAAAACGTAACACAAACTTTGTGACAGGATTAAGGCCTTTAGATATGAGGTTGTCCTTGCTGCTACGACACTAACACATCATTGGTTTGAAATGTCAACAGGCATAACAAATGAAGAACTGAAGCAACATTAGTGAGTTAGCTGAAGTCTATAAACACCTGGATGTCTCTTACTCTTCTATTGTTGTAGTTTAACCCGTGTGACCGCGAGCCTGGAGCCTGCTGAGATGCCACAAGGGCCAAATCAGATGAAAGACACTGGAGGCAATCTCTAACAGCAAATCCTAACCTTTGTACCAGTGTGTGTGTGTGTGTGTGTGTGTGTGTGTGTGTGTGTGTGTGTGTGTGTGTGTGTGTGTGTGTGTGTGTGTGTGTGTGTGTGAGTCATGCAGGCCCCTACGGCAGTCTCAGTGCAGGGAGACGGTAGCGGGAGCCTGAGGGGCGGACACTTGACATTTCCGGCTCATCTTTAAAAGTGGGCCTTAACCTTTCCCCGCAGCTTCTCCAGACACGTTTTAGGCGGCCTCGACAATGCCTGCGTGCCACTCAAACAAACCGGGGGGAAAAAATAGATAAAAAGTCAGAAAGTCAATACCGATTACAACATTGCTTTTTGACCTCATCAAATCATTTTGTCCCTTATCACCAACTTATCTAACGTAATGTAGGTATTCAGACTTAAGAAGAGGGAGAACATATATTAATTTCACTACACTTACACATAAGTACATAATTCTCTAAACTAAACGTGTTCCTCCAGTTGTCTCTGCTTAGCCAAATGTTTTTGTGCGTGTCAGTAAAAGCTTGAATGTGTGTGTGTGTAGAGTTTCAGAGTGGAGTGGTCTTCCTCCAGGCCTTCCCTTTCTGCTTTTTCAAGTGACGGTTGAAAGTAGCCGTCTAATTTGAGCGCTCTAATTACCTGGGATTAAAGACCAGGTGCTATTAAAGCAATTAGACACACAGCACACTCCAGTGCCGAAGACCCTGCACCCTAGCCGGCGGAAAACACACTCGCACACACAAATACACATCTGTGTAACACAGCCAGTGGGGAAAAAAACAAATATTAGCCAGTGGGATACACAGACTTTAAGGGCCACTCTCAACTATTGACACACAGGTATCTTGGCCAAAGAAAAAACAAATACACATTTACACTAATTTGCAATTAAAGTGGTAAAGAAAACACAAATACCTACTATCTACTCAACTTGAGGTGCTTAAAAAACATTTGTTTAACTGTTTATTTGAAAAAAATATTCCTGTCTTCCTTCCTGACAAACTTGTTTTTTTTGTTTGTTTTTTTAAATGACAGCAGCACGATACAAACACTGACCCCCGTGTTCATCACAACCCCAACTGATGTCATTTTCTCATCTGGCAGCCCGGACTGTTCCATTACGCTTTCTCCAGATAAAGGTTTACGAATGCATCTCCGCACTCAAGCTTTCATAGCCACCACATATTGAACACAAACCATATCTTCTTCTACAGGAACTGGCTGCATTTCCTTAAGACACAAACACGGGAGGAGCGAAACTTTCATGAGGAACAGAAATGCACCCTGACTTATCAAACAGTTTGCTGTCTTGCCTAAAGGAAGGTGTGCACACGTATATAGTGTGTGTGTTTGTCTTTTATCTGTCTGTGTGGATGTCTCTGGATGTGTGTGTGTGTGTGTGCGCGTGTGTGCGTGTGTGTCTTTTTCTCTGTCTGTGTGGATGTCTCTGGATGTGTGTGTGTGTGTGCGTGTGTCTTTTTCTCTGTCTGTGTGGATGTCTCTGGATGTGTGTGTGTGTGTGTGCGTGTGTGTGTCTTTTTCTCTGTCTGTGTGGATGTCTCTGGATGTGTGTGTACGTGTGTGTACGTGTGTGTGTGTCTTTTATCTGTCTGTGTGGATGTCTCTGGATGTGTGTGTGTGTGTGTGTGTGTGTGTGTGTGTGTGTGTGTGTGTCTTTCTCTCTGTCTGTGTGGATGTCTCTGGATGTGTGTGTACGTGTGTGTACGTGTGTGTGCATGTGTGTGTGTCTTTTATCTGTCTGTGTGGATGTCTCTGGATGTGTGTGTGTCTTTTATCTGTCTGTCTCTGGATGTGTGTGTGTGTGTGTGTGTGTGTGTGTGTGTGTGTGTGTGTGTGTGTGTGTGTGTGTGTGTGTGTGTGTGTGCGTGCATGCGTGCGTGCGTGTAACACTGACACAGCCATGTAGCTAGCTCGGCTCGAGGGTAGGATTAGCGGAGAGCATTGCCTCGGCCCACAAACATTCCATATTAAAAAATGAAAAGGCAACCTTCATTACTATCAGTGGCACATAACCTCCCCTCTTCCTCCTCCTCTGCCACTATTATACACAGCTCTAACAGCCTGGGCGAAAAATACAAGCCACTGACAAGAGATTCCATTATTCCTGATGCCTCAGTGTCAACAACATACATCCGACGGGGCAGAGAAAGAAAAAAAAATGGAAGAAGGGGAAAGGGATGTGAGAGAAAGAGGGGGGTTAAGCTCACTACAATGCCTGAATGACAAGATAGGAGGAAACCTGGGAATGGAAGCTTCCAGGTTCCTGTTGGTGTCGGGAGGAGAATTTGTTTAAAGTGTCAAAAGTGTCATTTTTGGGAGGGTTAATGTGATTTGAGATCTGGAATCGGGGGTAAAAAAAGCGGATGAACCGTGATATGTGAAATTAGAAAATAGTCACAGGTCGATCTTAGGTCTTAAGCAAAAG